TTTCCAAAAAGAGGAAAATCCTTTCTCGCTTTCTGAATTTAGATCGCTATCCAATTTCAATCCACTTTGGTTGGCAATCGAATACGAGTAATTATTTAAATAACTGTCTCGCTTCTTCTCTTCAATAGAATTCCTCCTCTTCATGATATTGAACGAAAATCAAAATCACCAAAACTACACGTATATATTCTTTAAAAAAAAAAAAAAAAACTCCCATCTACTTTAAGGATCTTTTAAGCAGATTTATTCAAAGGGGGATTCTTGATTTCATTCCAGATACAGATCCATTTGGAAGATTGCTTTCCAATATATATATGTGTCCCATCTTCTCTCATAGAGAGTTGCATCTTTCTCTGAATTCGAAAATGCGTTTTGTGGTAAATGTTCCACTATCCAGTATAGTATGGCTTAAAGTGGAAGATAATTGGAGAACCATGCGGCACATTCTAGGACAGACGATCGCTTCTCTCTGTTCCGTGGTCACTATACTCTCCAACTCTCAAGTTTCTCAGGAAAGAGGTTTTTAGGGAGGAGGAAATAGAAGAGAGAGAGAGAGAGGGGGAGGGGGCATTGAACAAGAGAATCAGTGACAGAGAAAGACAGAGATGATAGAGAACTGAAGGGGTTGGAATCAAGTGATGGGTTGCATGAGTACAGGAGGAGAAAGAGGTTTTGAAGCAGGGAAACAGAAGGAGATTCGAGAATCTATCGATCCTAAGCCACAGGCTCCGTTGGTTGCCAGTGAGCTTATACTCTGGCGACTTATTGCAACGACTAGTTGCCGAGTCGTGTAACACTCTCGAAAACTAGTTCGAGTGAATAATGGTCCGGAACAATGCGAAACCTCTGAAAATCGCGAGCCTAAGCTTCATGAAAAGCCGTCTTTGATAGTTTCCAGAATTCTCCTTGAGACTTCTTTTCCCTTCTTCTTTTTTTTTTTTTTTACTCTTTGGTGCGGTTCCCATTGAGAATCAAGAAATCCTACAATGCCCACCAAAAATGACTCTTCAATTATGATATTCAAAATGGAATATTCTATTTTATTGCACAGAAAATAGAAATCCCACTTGTAAAAATTTTCTTTCCCTAGAAATTCCCTCTTTTGGAAGTTAATATTATAGAATTTTTTCCTGTAATAAATAACAAATTAGCCTTTCCGTAAACCACAAAAATTCCAATAATAATTTTTGAAATTCAACGGAAATTATTTTTTTATATATTGAAAATATTTAAACGAACTAAAAGTCGAATGGAATTTAATGAATTTTTTTTTATTATATATTCCAAAGAACGTATAATTAAAGTTTTTACAAAATTTTCTTGTTTTTAATTAAATGTTTATTAAATTTTTCAAACTGTATATAATATCGCAAACTTTAGAATAATTTTTTAAAAATTAGGTCTCCATAATTATATTAGAATTTAAAAAAGTAACTTTACAACTTTTAAAAAATGTTATAATTAAACGAAAAATTTTTATTATAATTGTTGGAAATATAAAGTGAGTGAATTTCTTCTTTTGTTCGAATCTTTTAAGAATATTATTCCAAAGATTACTAGGTCAGTACTAATGACTCTATTAAGTTGAACTGTTGTAGAAAGACCACTTCTGGACCTGATGGATAAATTTTTTTCGCAGTTTTTTTTTTTTTTTTTTTGTTCTTATATATTTACCACAAATGTCAAAGCCAGCAATTCTGTTGAGTATAGTTGGATGGGATGTGAATCCAAGAAGCTACAGAAAGAACCAAACTTAACGGGAAACAAGATAGAAACTTGTACTTTTTTTTTTTTTTTTTTTTCGTTTTCCGGAAATTGACTCATCTATCATTCATTGTTTATAAAGCTTTCTCCTCCATGTAACTTGTAGTTCTGAGATTCTATTTTCAATATTTTATGAAAGCTTCGAATTCAATTTCCAACTTTCTTGTATATAGTTTAAAATTTATATGTACTTTGTACATTGTTACGTAATTTTCGTATCGTTATATTTCTTTTAGCTGTCAAAGTCATTTCAAAACTTTATACGTATATATATATTTTTTAAATATTTATATTGATGTAAAATTTAAAAAAAAAATTTCTAAACTGAAATTTAAATGACTAAACTCATCAGCGGTACGTGACGTAGATTTAAATCTACCGCTTTTGCATAGATGTCACTAACGTCAGAGCTTCTTCAGATGAAAGTGGAGCCCATTTTCCTTGGAAAACTAGATCTCAGCTGGAATTATTCATTCTTGAAGATTAAGCAAATCCAATATAAAGGCATATTACACTTTGAATTTATCAACCTAACCGCATTTTCCCCTTTTTTTAACTCATGGAACTTTAGAAGGGAGATCCATTCTAGGAATTTTTAAATTTCAATGACATTTTAAGGTCTTAGGATTTTTCATAAAGTAACGCATTTTCCACCATTCGAAGTTCTTCACTAGTAATGCGTATGCAAACTTTTTTTTTTTTTTTTTTTTTGCAAAAAGTGTTTCACTGCGAAATGTCTACTGCACCATTAGAAAAAAATCTCCATGCTTTCGGAGCCTCTTGACAAACACTTCTCATCGACATCCGTTCTCATCACTCTCTTTTCTAGCTCCTTTAGAAAAACCCCTTGCCCATCATGCAGAGTCTCTTGTGAATAAATGCTTTTCCAATTCTTTTCTATTCTCTTTCTTCTTGGATGCATTCATTTTTTTTCTGTATCTTCTTCTCTCTCATCTTGTCGTACTCACGTTCTTCTTTCTCAAATATATATATATATATATTTTTTTTTTCGTGTGCATCCTTTTTCATTCCCTCATCGGTTTTGCTTTGCGACTTTCCCCCTCCCCCATTTTCGCTGTCGTCAAGACTGAACAGAATCGTAAAACTTTCAGGTTACTGTTCACACTGTTTCTGTACGAAGTTGGTCGTTACTAAACTTGCCGCGTGACGAGATGAGAATTTCTTTTCGATGGCCTCGAGCTTTTCCTTTATACGAGGTTTCCTAGTTGAGATTTCCGGTGGCCATTAGCGCTCTAAGAGAGGTTGCGAAATTAGAAAAGTCTCTAACTTCATTTTCTTTAGTACACTGTTAAAAAGAGCTACAAACTTTCTTTTTTTTCTAGTGCTTGACAATTTTTCAATTTGAATTCCCCACGAGTCGTCTACACAAAACAATATATATAAATTTTAGGTAACATTTTGAAATGGTATTGCCTTCTAAACATAAATATCTTTAAAATGATCCATTCTTAGGTATTTAAATCCAGATACATATAAAGCCAAAATTATTTGAGAGCCGAGTTGTCAGTTGTCTCCGTTGGAACTGAGTTGTCACTTGTCCTGTATATTACAAAATTATTACTTTTTGTATTTTGCAAGAATAAACAATCAAGTCATTGTTGCAACAGAAAGTTTTCCACAAAATTATAGAAAGTTGTCACAATAAGGGCCATTTGGTCTTAGACACCGACCCGTGACAATGCTGTGCTTACAAGGATCCGAATCGACAAAAAAAGTGTATCGCGACAACTGGTCATAAGCATTTATCATTATGGGCAATATCTAAGAGAGGTTGCGAAATTAGAAAAGTCTCTAACTTCATTTTCTTTAGTACACTGTTAAAAAGAGCTACAAACTTTCTTTTTTTTCTAGTGTTTGACAATTTTTCAATTTGAATTCCCCACGAGTCGTCTACACAAAACAATATATATAAATTTTAGGTAACACTTTGAAATGGTATTTCAATCAGTAATATAAAAATTTCATTAATTTCAAACAGATTTAAAACAAGGAACATAGGGAAAAAATTTATAGTTTGACATAAGAGTGCAAAAAAAAATGGTAAAACTGAATTTTCTTCGGGGACATTTCCTCAAATAGACCCCATATAGTTCCTCTCCTGAGAGAATCCAGGAACCAATTATATCTTCTCGGGCTTTGAGTGTACATACTCGTTGGATGTCTAAATTGCGGTTGACTTGAGATTGTATGCAACGAACGTTTCACTCTAACGTATAATTGTGGAATACCACCGAATTTTCCCTAATGTAAAAGTGGACTATAGGAACAAATGTGAGAGTATAAGTAAAATGTAACGAGAAAAAAAAAAGTATGAGAGAAAGTTGAGGGCAAATCTCTTTTTTTCGTTATTCAAATTCAAATAGTCATACTCAACGGACGCATCAGTAAAGTGTTGAAATGTTTTTCTTTATAGTTCAAAAATGACAATAGCTCCAATTATCTCTAAATTATTCATCTGTATATTAAAAAGCCGGGAATTTATATCAAAAAAAAATTCTTATCAGAATATTGTAATTTAACATTAAATATAATTTTCCCTTACCTTAAGAAAATTAAATTAAAGATTTAATTTTAATACATCTCTTTCACTTTTTGTATTATAAATATTTTTAATTAAATTGCATTTTAAATATTTAAATTCCACATATTCATATAAACTCTTATGTCTGACTATAACATTACATTTTCAGTTCAGTGGGGAAATTTCACTTAAAACATAATTGGACTAATTTCCTTCCTGTACAATTCCACAATTATTATTCTCGCAGGAGAGAATACATATATATTTCAGAATATGAATATTGATCTTATTCTCCATGCAATTTTATTTTAATTATATTTTTATGTAATCCCGTGTAATAGTTAATTTTCCTTTTTTTTTTTTTTATTTAATTCATAACTAATTAATGAATCATTCAAAAATATTCTAAATTACTTTTGTGCTTTCTGAAATCAAATAACAATGTGGCGAATAAAATGCAGTAATTATTACTTACAAAATGTTATATTAACTAGAATAAAAAAAAAAAATTTCAAATTTTGTATTTTTTAGTAATTCCTGTTTTTGCAATTAGATGAACGGATTTTAATTAAATAATCCCTTAATGAATAATTATCTATATATGTTTCTTGTAAAGCCGCAAATGCATTTGTTTAGCTTGTTAACACGTTTGAAATACATTAACTTAAAAGCAACAACTGAATTTATGTTTTAGAGCGTTTACAATTTACTAGGAGAGACGTTATCTCGACTACAACAGTACGCAGAGGCTGAGAAGTGGTTTCAGGCAAGTTTAGCCAGTCAACCAGACCACGTGCCTGCCCACATCACTTATGGGAAATTGTTAGCGCGAAACGTAAGTTTGACCAGACGTATATATATATATAAATGCATGAGACCCCTTTTATACGTCATTGTTGAAACGTATTTTTTTTTTACCCTTCTTTATTTTAACCTTTCTTCTTTCCCTCTATCTTTCTTCTTATCGACAATTCACTCTTCTACTTGAAAAATCCCCCTTTCCTTTTTTTTTCTCCCTCCCCCGTAGTCTTATCTCTTTTTCAACCCCCATTCCTTGAACGTGGTCTTCGACAACTTTGCAGCTCTCTCTCAGGTAGGAAATGAAATTTCTTTAGAGCTCCTTTCTTTTCAAGGCACACGATGAAAGTAGAGAAAAATGTACTTCCTCATGGCGAGATTATTTTTAGAATTAAAGTCAATTCTTGTCTCGCAATTTAATTCTAAATAAAAAAGAAAAAAAAAATGGGAGAGAGAAGGGGGAATTCAAGCTTCTGAGAAAACATTCTGACGTGACTCACTCAAAGGTTAGGGTGCTTTGTAACAATAACGAGTTACGATTTGTACAATGGTACTTGTGCAGAAAATGGAATTACTTCTTTTTATTAACTCTGCATTCTTTTCGGTTTAACAAAAGAAATCTAATTTCATAATAAAAAACACAAATTGCTTTTGCAAAAATTTTCAATTGTTTGCCTATTGCATTATTCCATTTGTGTTTTATTTTCAGTATCTAAAATTCAATAAAAATAATTGAAACTAAAAATAATATGTAATGATGAAATAATAACTATAAAAATTTTAATTAAATATAAACACCTTTGACACGTCTCACAAATATTTATTTATTTTTCATTAAATTTTATTAATATCATTGAGAGTATGAATTTGAATTTAAATTAATTTCCCGCCATTGAGTAGCAGACGATGAAGCGCCTGCGCGATAGTTTTTTAAATTTTCTGTCGCACTCACTCTCATGCGTTGCCATGGTAACCTGCAGGCAGCCAAAAAGGTGTGAGAGTGCCTTTAGTCACAAATGGTTATCAAGTAGCAATCAGCCAGCGACAGTTGAAACGTGAAAGAGTAAAGAAGTCAATTCATAGTAAAGGTGCTTATATACCTCAAATTTCGATCAGATGAACTTTATTTCTGGACCGTGAAAATGCGTGAAAATTCATTTTCACGGTGGGTATTTTTGAATTGTTTTAAACAAAAAATGTTTTTTTAAGAAATATAATATTAAATAATTGTTTTAATATGTAAGAACACTTTAAAATAGTGATAGAAAGATGATTTGATTGAAAAATTTAGCAAATTTTGTTTTAAAACGTTTCTGCTACAAGAAAGTGTAAAATGACGATGTTTGTGAAATGGTTTGTACAGTGTACATGTGTACATGTTTCTTTCAGTTATTCGAAACAATTAGTAGAATTTAAATTTATTTGATAAACATTTCAACTTACCGATTTATTTTCAGCACTCATTATTTATTACAAGTTAAAAAGAACCGACATAACATAAACAAAACTCTGAGAGACACTCACAAGGAAGAAGCACTGTACAAACCATTTCACAAACATCGTCATTTTACACTTTCTTGTAGCAGAAAACGTTTTAAAGCAAAATTTGCTAAATTTTTTAATAAAATCATCTCTCTATCACTATTTTATAGTGTTCTTACATATTAAAACAATTATTTAATATTATATTTCTTAAAAAAAACATTTTTTGTATAAAACAATTCAAAAATACCCACCGTGAAAATGACTTTTCACGCATTTTCACGGTCCAGAAATAATGTTCATCCGATCGAAATTTGAGGTATAAAAGCACCTTAAACGATTAAAACTGTCATTTAATAATAAAGAATATTTGACACAAAGTAACGACCAATCTATTAAAAACTTTTGAGTAATTTTATAGGGTAATTTAATAATTATTAATTTAGTTTTAGGTACATTTAGATTGGGAAAAATTAATAAAAATAAATGTGTGTTTAACAGATCAGAAATTCACATTATCATGGTTTGATAAAAAAATTATTTTATCTCTATAGCGGGAATTTTTCTTTTTTGAAAAAATGTAATTAATATTTACAATGCAATATTAATTTACAATATCAATAGTATATTTTCATAATTTGCAATTATATTATTATATTAATCTTCTTTATTTAAAAAAAAAAAAAACAGTTTCTTTGTTATAAACCCTCTCTGTCTCTCTATCTATAAATTCAACATTTCCCAATCCATTAGGAACAATAGCCTTCAAGGATTGTTTGTGATTTTATGTAAATCTGTTCTGACTAAGCTCACACTGTTAACAATTGGCTTGTTCAACGATCTAATCACGCTTGATGTTTGCTTTACAGTCCAGTCGTGTTTTGGAAGCTGAGAGGTGGTTTCTGCGCGCCAGGAGATTAGCTCCCGAAGACCCAAGCGTACATTATCATTATGGTAAGAACAACAGTTGCACATCAACAACATATGCCATGTTAGGAAATTAATTAACTTTCATCACTATACAAATTAATATTTTGTTTCTTAATCAAATTATAATTTACATTGTAAATTTTTATTTTTAAATTCTACTTATTTTTTTATTAACCTATTATTTCTATACATGAGGATATTAGATCCATTTGTGAAACATTTATATTATAACATTAAATTTTCACTTATTTCCACATCAATGGTTATTTTTAGTTCAATTAAAATTCAATTAATTAATCTCTTTATTTATTAAGCTATTTTCCATACAATTTTGCAATCGGAAAAATAATTATGTCTGGATATATTAAAATTGGCCTAAAGCAATTTCATATAATTGATCCATAAATTTCGGTTCAATTACTTTTTTCGATGTTTGCGAGTTGCTGCGATAATAGGAACTTTGAACATTAGAAATATTGTAGTTGCCGTGAATCATTTCTCCATTTTTTTTATTCAATTATTAATTTTAAATTGTGATGTAACTGACATTGTAAAAAAATGAGACTGTTTACTAATTAGTATATTGAAATTTTATGTGCACATATAAGTTAAATGTTTCCATACGATTCAAAATCGATTAAATATAATTCAACTTCGTTAAACAGTAAATAGTATTAATGAAATATTAGTCCATAAACAATAAAATATGTCCTTTTTCGCTTATTTGTTTAAATAATTACATAATTTTGAAAAATTAATTTTGTGTATTTTCGTTGAAACATTTTATTTGATATTCGAAACTGGCAATGAGTTCTAATAGAGCTTTAATCTGTGAAATTTATTACATAAAATATAAATTAATGTGTATGCATTTCGAAAACTGAATAACAACAATATTTGCCAAATGTTAATTAACAATTTTATTCTTCAAAAGAAAATGATCATAAATATTATCAATGATGATAATTTTCCGGATAATTATTATTTTGTTATTTTATTTTATAATTATGAAATATAGAATGATATTAATATTGATTTTTAACACATAGAGAATTCTATTACCAAGGGAAAACTAAATATATTTTTAAATAATGCGAGAGATATTTAAATTTTTTTGTAACCAATGTGAATATCCAATTTAAAGATATTTGTCTCTAGAGACACTTTGGGCAAAATAGGAACAAAATATTACAATATAAATTAAAATTCTTTTTTATTATTTTTCTAAATCTTTTTATAATTTAGATATAATATTTTTAATTAAATTCTCGTATTAAATTAAATTCGTTTTACATAAAATATATTTCAAAATGTTTATTTTAACGAGGATATTATGTGACAAAATGCGATTACTAATAAACATTGAGTCTTCAATACTGATGGCACTCTGTTGTCTCTCATGGGACGAATCAATTAATATGAGCTTATACAGTAATGAATTTTAGGCACTAATGGCTATATACCTATTAATATAATAGGGTACAGATACCAATTGGCTATATCATGGGATTAACCTAATGGTATTCTTAGCAAAATTGTACATTATCAAAATGATGCTCCCTTGAGATTCGATCAAAATTTTGTAAATTCTTTTCCGTCAATTTGACTTTTTTTTATCCCCCCCTAGCAGATTGCATGAACACAAGGTTAAGATTGAAATTTGGTCTCAAACATATAAAAAATGATCAAATATATAATTAAATGATTAAAACAATAAGATTTATATTTTCTTTATTATATTATTCTTCGACATAATCATTCCAGCATAGCACAAAAGTCTTAACTCGGAAGTTGTTTACAAAAAATATATAACGCACTTTTTGATAGGTCCAACGGATGCTGAGCTGCACTCAAAAACATTTTAGAAAAATTTTTGCAAAATTAAAATTGCGACATAATCGATCCGAAATACCACAAAAAAAACAGTCCAAAAGTTTCGAACAAAAAATGTATGGCGCACTTTTTGATTAATCCAGCGGATGCTGAGCTACACTCACTAAAACTGGGAAAAAATTTTTGAAAAAAAAAATTTGCCAGATAATGACTTGGGAATAATGCCAAAAAATTAAGCAAAAAGTCTCGAACAAAAAATGTATGGCGCACTTTTTGATTGGTCCAGCGGATGCTGAGCTACACTCACTAAAACTGAGAAAAAATTTTCGAAAAAAAAATTTGCCAGATAATGACTCGGGAATAATGCCAAAAAATTGAGCAAAAAGTCTCGAACAAAAAATGTATGGCGCACTTTTTGATTGGTCCAGCGGATGCTGAGCTACACTCACTAAAACTGGGAAAAAATTTTCAAAAAAAAAAATTTGCCAGATAATGACTCGGGAATAATGCCAAAAAATTGAGCAAAAAGTCTCGAACAAAAAATGTATGGCGCACTTTTTGATTGGTCCAGCGGATGCTGAGCTACACTCACTAAAACTGGGAAAAAATTTTCGAAAAAAAAAATTTGCCAGATAATGACTTGGGAATACCACCAATAAAATAGGGAAAAAGTTTCGAACCAAAAATGTATGTCGCACTTTTTGATTGGTCCAGCGGATGCTGAGCTACAGTAAAAAACAAATTGGGAAAATTTTCGAAAAATTAAATTCACGACATAATTGTTCGGGAATACCGCCAAAGTAGTTAGAAGAAAGTTCTGAACAAAAAATGTATGGCGCACTTTTTGAGTGGTCCAGCGGATGCTGAGCTACACTAGAAAACAAATTTGGAAAAAATTTAGAAAAATTAAATTTGCGAGATAATCGCTCCGGAATACCACCAATAAAATAGGGAAAAAGTTTCGAACAAAAAATGTATGGCGCACTTTTTGATTGGTCCAGCGGATGCTGAGCTACACTGAAAAATATTTTGGAAAAATTTTCGAAAAATTAAATTCACGACATAATTGTTCGGGAATACCGCCAAAGTAGTTAGAAGAAAGTTCTGAACAAAAAATGTATGGCGCACTTTTTGAGTGGTCCAGCGGATGCTGAGCTACACTCAAAAATATTTTGGAAAAATTTTCGAAAAATTAAATTTGCGAGATAATCGATCGGGAATACCGCCAAAGTCTTTAGCAAAAAGTAGCGAACAAAAAATGTATGGCGCACTTTTTGATTGGTCCAACGGATGCTGAGCTGCACTCAAAAACATTTTAGAAAAATTTTTGCAAAATTAAAATTGCGACATAATCGATCCGAAATACCACAAAAAAAACAGTCCAAAAGTTTCGAACAAAAAATGTATGGCGCACTTTTTGATTGGTCCAGCGGATGCTGAGCTACACTCACTAAAACTGGGAAAAAATTTTCGAAAAAAAAAATTTGCCAGATAATGACTTGGGAATAATGCCAAAAAATTAAGCAAAAAGTCTCGAACAAAAAATGTATGGCGCACTTTTTGATTGGTCCAGCGGATGCTGAGCTACACTCACTAAAACTGGGAAAAAATTTTCGAAAAAAAAAATTTGCCAGATAATGACTTGGGAATACCACCAATAAAATAGGGAAAAAGTTTCGAACCAAAAATGTATGGCGCACTTTTTGATTGGTCCAGCGGATGCTGAGCTACAGTAAAAAACAAATTGGGAAAATTTTCGAAAAATTTAATTCACGACATAATTGTTCGGGAATACCGCCAAAGTAGTTAGAAGAAAGTTCTGAACAAAAAATGTATGGCGTACTTTTTGAGTGGTCCAGCGGATGCTGAGCTACACTAGAAAAGAAATTTGGAAAAAATTTAGAAAAATTAAATTTGCGAGATAATCGCTCCGGAATACCACCAATAAAATAGGGAAAAAGTTTCGAACAAAAAATGTATGGCGCACTTTTTGATTGGTCCAGCGGATGCTGAGCTACACTGAAAAATATTTTGGAAAAATTTTCGAAAAATTAAATTCACGACATAATTGTTCGGGAATACCGCCAAAGTAGTTAGAAGAAAGTTCTGAACAAAAAATGTATGGCGCACTTTTTGAGTGGTCCAGCGGATGCTGAGCTACACTCAAAAATATTTTGGAAAAATTTTCGAAAAATTAAATTTGCGAGATAATCGATCGGGAATACCGCCAAAGTCTTTAGCAAAAAGTAGCGAACAAAAAATGTATGGCGCACTTTTTGATTGGTCCAGCGGATGCTGAGCTACACTAGAAAACAAATTTGGAAAAAATTTAGAAAAATTAAATTTGCGAGATAATCGCTCCGGAATACCACCAATAAAATAGGGAAAAAGTTTCGAACCAAAAATGTATGGCGCACTTTTTGATTGGTCCAGCGGATGCTGAGCTACAGTGAAAAACAAATTTGGAAAAAATTACAAAAAATTAAATTTGCCAGATTATCGGTCAGGAATAATGCCAAAAAATTGAGCAAAAAGTCTCGAACAAAAAATGTATGGCGCACTTTTTGATAGGTCCAGCGGATGCTGAGCTACACTCACTAAAACTGGGAAAAAATTTTCGAAAAAAAAAATTTGCCAGATAATGACTTGGGAATAATGCCAAAAAATTAAGCAAAAAGTCTCGAACAAAAAATGTATGGCGCACTTTTTGATTGGTCCAGCGGATGCTGAGCTACACTCACTAAAACTGAGAAAAAATTTTCGAAAAAAAAATTTGCCAGATAATGACTCGGGAATAATGCCAAAAAATTGAGCAAAAAGTCTCGAACAAAAAATGTATGGCGCACTTTTTGATTGGTCCAGCGGATGCTGAGCTACACTCACTAAAACAGGGAAAAAATTTTCGAAAAAAAAAATTTGCCAGATAATGACTCGGGAATAATGCCAAAAAATTGAGCAAAAAGTCTCGAACAAAAAATGTATGGCGCACTTTTTGATTGGTCCAGCGGATGCTTAGCTACACTCACTAAAACTGGGAAAAAATTTTCGAAAAAAAAAATTTGCCAGATAATGACTCGGGAATAATGCCAAAAAATTGAGCAAAAAGTCTCGAACAAAAAATGTATGGCGCACTTTTTGATTGGTCCAGCGGATGCTGAGCTACACTCACTAAAACTAGGAAAAAATTTTCGAAAAAAAAAATTTGCGAGATAATCGCTCCCGAATACCGCCAATGTCTTTAGCAAAAAGTAGCGAACAAAAAATGTATGGCGCACTTTTTGATTGGTCCAGCGGATGCTGAGCTACACTAGAAAACAAATTTGGAAAAAATTTAGAAAAATTAAATTTGCGAGATAATCGCTCCGGAATACAACCAATAAAATAGGGAAAAAGTTTCGAACAAAAAATGTATGGCGCACTTTTTGATTGGTCCAGCGGATGCTGAGCTACACTGAAAAATATTTTGGAAAAATTTTCGAAAAATTAAATTCACGACATAAATGTTCGGGAATACCGCCAAAGTAGTTAGAAGAAAGTTCTGAACAAAAAATGTATGGCGCACTTTTTGATTGGTCCAGCGGATGCTGAGCTACACTCACTAAAACAGGGAAAAAATTTTCGAAAAAAAAAATTTGCCAGATAATGACTCGGGAATAATGCCAAAAAATTGAGCAAAAAGTCTCGAACAAAAAATGTATGGCGCACTTTTTGATTGGTCCAGCGGATGCTGAGCTACACTCACTAAAACTGGGAAAAAATTTTCGAAAAAAAAAATTTGCCAGATAATGACTTGGGAATACCACCAATAAAATAGGGAAAAAGTTTCGAACAAAAAATGTATGGCGCACTTTTTGATTGGTCCAGCGGATGCTGAGCTACAGTAAAAAACAAATTGGGAAAATTTTCGAAAAATTAAATTCACGACATAATTGTTCGGGAATACCGCCAAAGTAGTTAGAAGAAAGTTCTGAACAAAAAATGTATGGCGCACTTTTTGAGTGGTCCAGCGGATGCTGAGCTACACTAGAAAAGAAATTTGGAAAAAATTTAGAAAAATTAAATTTGCGAGATAATCGCTCCGGAATACCACCAATAAAATAGGGAAAAAGTTTCGAACAAAAAATGTATGGCGCACTTTTTGATTGGTCCAGCGGATGCTGAGCTACACTCACTAAAACTAGGAAAAAATTTTCGAAAAAAAAAATTTGCGAGATAATCGCTCCCGAATACCGCCAATGTCTTTAGCAAAAAGTAGCGAACAAAAAATGTATGGCGCACTTTTTGATTGGTCCAGCGGATGCTGAGCTACACTAGAAAACAAATTTGGAAAAAATTTAGAAAAATTAAATTTGCGAGATAATCGCTCCGGAATACAACCAATAAAATAGGGAAAAAGTTTCGAACAAAAAATGTATGGCGCACTTTTTGATTGGTCCAGCGGATGCTGAGCTACACTGAAAAATATTTTGGAAAAATTTTCGAAAAATTAAATTCACGACATAATTGTTCGGGAATACCGCCAAAGTAGTTAGAAGAAAGTTCTGAACAAAAAATGTATGGCGCACTTTTTGAGTGGTCCAGCGAATGCTGAGCTACACTCAAAAATATTTTGGAAAAATTTTCGAAAAATTAAATTTGCGAGATAATCGATCGGGAATACCGCCAAAGTCTTTAGCAAAAAGTAGCGAACAAAAAATGTATGGCGCACTTTTTGATTGGTCCAGCGGATGCTGAGCTACACTAGAAAACAAATTTGGAAAAAATTTAGAAAAATTAAATTTGCGAGATAATCGCTCCGGAATACCACCAATAAAATAGGGAAAAAGTTTCGAACCAAAAATGTATGGCGCACTTTTTGATTGGTCCAGCGGATGCTGAGCTACAGTGAAAAACAAATTTGGAAAAAATTACAAAAAATTAAATTTGCCAGATTATCGGTCAGGAATAATGCCAAAAAATTGAGCAAAAAGTCTCGAACAAAAAATGTATGGCGCACTTTTTGATTGGTCCAGCGGATGCTGAGCTACACTCACTAAAACTGGGAAAAAATTTTCGAAAAAAAAAATTTGCCAGATAATGACTTGGGAATAATGCCAAAAAATTGAGCAAAAAGTCTCGAACAAAAAATGTATGGCGCACTTTTTGATTGGTCCAGCGGATGCTGAGCTACACTCACTAAAACTGGGGAAAAATTTTCGAAAAAAAAAATTTGCGAGATAATCGCTCCGGAATACCACTAATGAAATAGGGAAAAAGTTTCGAACAAAAAATGTATGGCGCACTTTTTGAGTGGTCCAGCGAATGCTGAGCTACACTCAAAAATATTTTGGAAAAATTTTCGAAAAATTAAATTTGCGAGATAATCGATCGGGAATACCGCCAAAGTCTTTAGCAAAAAGTAGCGAACAAAAAATGTATGGCGCACTTTTTGATTGGTCCAGCGGATGCTGAGCTACACTAGAAAACAAATTTGGAAAAAATTTAGAAAAATTAAATTTGCGAGATAATCGCTCCGGAATACCACCAATAAAATAGGGAAAAAGTTTCGAACCAAAAATGTATGGCGCACTTTTTGATTGGTCCAGCGGATGCTGAGCTACAGTGAAAAACAAATTTGGAAAAAATTACAAAAAATTAAATTTGCCAGATTATCGGTCAGGAATAATGCCAAAAAATTGAGCAAAAAGTCTCGAACAAAAAATGTATGGCGCACTTTTTGATTGGTCCAGCGGATGCTGAGCTACACTCACTAAAACTGGGAAAAAATTTTCGAAAAAAAAAATTTGCCAGATAATGACTTGGGAATAATGCCAAAAAATTGAGCAAAAAGTCTCGAACAAAAAATGTATGGCGCACTTTTTGATTGGTCCAGCGGATGCTGAGCTACACTCACTAAAACTGGGGAAAAATTTTCGAAAAAAAAAATTTGCGAGATAATCGCTCCGGAATACCACTAATGAAATAGGGAAAAAGTTTCGAACAAAAAATGTATGGCGCACTTTTTGATTGGTCCAGCGGATGCTGAGCTACACTCAAAAATATTTTGGAAAAATTTTCGAAAAATTAAATTCACGACATAATTGTTCGGGAATACCGCCAAAGTAGTTAGAAGAAAGTTCTGAACAAAAAATGTATGGCGCACTTTTTGAGTGGTCCAGCGGATGCTGAGCTACACTCAAAAATATTTTGAAAAAATTTTCGAAAAATTAAATTTGCGAGATAATCGATCGGGAATACCGCCAAAGTCTTTAGCAAAAAGTAGCGAACAAAAAATGTATGGCGCACTTTTTGATTGGTCCAGCGGATGTTGAGCTACACTAGAAAACAAATTTGGAAAAAATTTAGAAAAATTAAATTTGCGAGATAATCGCCCCGGAATACCACCAAAAAATTCAGCAAAAAGTCTCGAACATGAATGTATGCCGCACTTTTTGATAAAAAATAGTGGTGAAAATAAATAATATTTTGTTTTATTCAATATTTTTGATTGAATTATTAATTTTTCGATAAAATATTAGATTTTTTGTTTAATATTTCAGTTTAGCAATTAAAAGATTTTCTTTGATAAAAACATTACTGGAAAAATATAAGGAAAGAATAAAAAGCGTGCTGTTACCTACCTCCTTAAAAACGCGACTATATTGATTTTATCGACAAATGTTTTTAATAAACTGTTATAGATTGAAATTAATAAAAACATTAAATTTTAGTAATTATTTAACAATAATCATCATAAAAAAGATGAATTTTATTGTTTTAATCATTGTACTATATATTTCATCATTTTTTTTATATATTTGAGACAAAATTTGAGACTCAACCTTGTGTTCCAGGAATGCTCCGCCTATTTCGTATATCATTAGCATAATACAATCCGTTATGTGCCATAAGTGTTTGTTTCTTCTGATATCTTTTTTTCTTTTAAAGGTATTTTCCTAACGTCACAAGGACGTTTGGCGGAAGCTGCAGAGGAACAATTAAGAGCTGCCATGTTATCAAAATCAGATTACGATATGGCAGTTGCGGCAGCGTCGGCACTACGTCGTGTTGATCGTCGTGAGGAGGCGGAAATTTGGTATAGACACGCAATGGGTCTTAGGCCAAATGAAGCGCGAAGTCATACAAATCTTGGTGCCATGTTACATTTAAATGGCAAATATAAACAAGCCGAAGCAGCATATAGAGAGGCCTTAAGATTACAACCAGGCGACGCAACGACAATGACCAATCTTCACAAATTAGCAACACTACTTGCGTGACCCAAAAATAGTCGAAAATTTCGACATTCTCAACGTTCACCTCGACTCGACGTTCGACCTCCTTTATTTCACTTTGAGATGAACAAAGATGACATGGAGATTCGATGACAATGAAATAATGCTTTTCATTTCTTCATCAGGGATCGATAATCGTTTGTCTTCTGATAAACAAAAAACCAAAATGGAAAATTCATTCGCGGGAATGGCTCAACGTCAATGATCGATGAACGCCATCCGTTGTATGAAAAATGTAAAGAATAAAGCTTCATTTATTTTTCTCTAAATAAAATCTGATTTTCTTATTTACAAATCTATCCTATTTCCTTTACTAAACAGGTAAATAAACATTCAATGAAGAGGATATTAATTTCTTTTTTATTTTCACAAATTTAAATTGAAAGAAAAAAAATTTTATTTAAAAAAATTAAATGATAAAAAAAAATTAATTTAAAATTGTTTTTCATGATATGTAACAACGTTGAAATACAAAATACTGACACGTGTTAATTATAAAAATTTTCATTTTACAAGTACGCTCCTTTGATGATGCTTAATCTCGTTTCAAAGGATTTTCCACGCCAAGTACTAATTAAAATCCTTTATTATATTTTTGGTTCTTCATTTCTCCATCAGTGAAAATATTTTTTTAAAGTTGGTAATTCATTATGATTTTCGAGGAGAACTCGAGCTTTGAATGCAAACACTGACAATTTAAAAAAAAAAAGATGAATCTAATTGAAGGCGTGAAAAATTGGTAATGAATATGCATAGGCTGAGGTGGAAATCATCTTAATTGGATTGATTCGCTTGAGATTATCTCGAAGCACGATTCGCAGTATCAGCGTTGATACTCAACGCCACACCATCTATACATATAACTTGCTACTCGACCGTTCTATCCAACACGAAGAGCTGCTCCATTAATATCGAATCTATTTGCACGAAGGTACCGACTGGAATATTTAAGTTTGCACTTTAAATCACGCTTTCTCTCTCTCTCTCTCTCTCCGTGGGAGAGAACCCCATTCGCGGACCACCTGTCGCTCGCGACACTCTCTGGGCAAACACTCTCTGGCTTTAACCTTTGTTCCCTAAGTTACTCACCTTTATACACCATTCATTATATGTATAAATCCTTTGAGCGAAAGATTTTACGATACAGAGTCTTTCTATTTCAAATGAAAAAAGAAGAAGAAGAGAAGTCAGAAAAATCCAGAGGTGTCGTAATGCAATTAGTGAGGAAAAGAAATTCATTTACGAGGAAGCAGGATTTAAAATTAACAAATTGAAAAGAGTTTTTTTTTATCAAAGAGAACTATATAATAAGGAAAGAGAGCAAAAAAAAGGTGGAATTGTAGAGATTACGGTTTTTGTACAAGTTTATATAGATAAAGATTGAAAAAAAATCTCCTTTTCCAAGTACGAAAACTTTTTTTTCCAAGTTCGAGGAGTTTTTTTTCTTATTGTTGTAAAGCGAGAGAGAATAAAAAAAAAGTTGAACCAGTATGAAACAATTCTAACAATTTAGTTTAGAAGTTACATTCTGAAATATTCTAAATAAATTATTTATTTAATGTGAGAAGTGGAAAATCTGCATAAACCTTGGTTATGGCTCTTGATCTGGCAAACCTACTAAAAACCACATCTTTTGGTTGAACAAATTCTGATCTTAGAAAAATGCCATCAGCCATTAAACCTCGTCCCTAGAATCTCGCATATCTTTAACAATATTTTTTATTAAATGTAGCTGATGACTCAGATTACTTTTACGATAATTAAAAAAATTAGTTAGGAAAAACATCAATAATAAAATATTTTATTAAATTTAGCTGATGACTCGAATTATTTTTGCGAGAATTCAGATAATCAGTTAGGAAAAACATCAATAATAAATATTTTCAATGACTCGGATTACTTTTCTGAGAATTCAGATAATTAGTTTGGAAAAACATCAATAATAAATATTTTTGATGACTCGGATTACTTTTCTGAGAATTCCGATAATCAGTTAGGAAAAACACCAATAATAAATATTTTTGATTACTCGGATTACTTTTCCGAGAATTCAGATAATCAGTTAGGAAAAACACCAATAATAAATATTTTTAATGACTCGGATTACTTTTACGATAATTCGGATAATTAGGAAAAACATCAATAATAAATATTTTTTACAAAATGCATCTGATGACTCGGATTACTTTTCCGATAATTAATATTATGAGTTAGGAAAAACATCAATAATAATATTTTTTATTAAATGTAGCGAACTTACTCAGACAATAACAGTTGCAAGTATAAACACATGCCATCGTCCTTTACCATTACCATTTGGAAGATCACAGTTGAACCGATCGGCTTTTGGGAAGCATTCTCAATTTTCCGGTTAGGGCGGAAGTTCAACATTTGACCAGCAGGAGCGCCATTCTGGACTATCGGAGCTTCTTCCTAATTTCTACAGCCTGTCCGCTTCATCTAGGTCGATGACTACAACTGCGTTTATTATACCTCTTAAATCTTATTTTAAACCAAACTTTATTTTTTATTTTACAAATTTTATTTTGTAAAAGAAAAGGAATTTTGATATAAAAAATTCTATCTCAAACGCGAGAGTATCTAATTTAGATTCTTCTTGTAAACTTAAAGTAAATCATTTTACTCTCTAAAAAGTGCTCATCTTATTCGAATAAAAATAACATGCAGATAGGTATGTTTAAATTCCAAGGAAATTTGCAAAAAAAAGAAACCTTAAAAAAGAGAGAGAAACTTGAAAATTCTATATAAAATACCTCAAACTCCCTTGAGATTTCAAAAGGTACTTTAAGAGACCCATAAAGTCACTGAAATTGTTTCCAAGACTTCTTGGTTAACCAAATTCGCCAGTGATCTCATTCAACTTTTTTTTTGGAGTTTTATCAAGTTCTTCTAAAGTCACAAGATCTGTTATTTTTAACAATTATGTAATAAAAAAATCGTTATTATGATTTAATTTTTCTTATTTAAATTAAATTAATTTTTGTATATCCTATATTTTATTATCATATCAATCACGACATATTTTAATTTATAAGAACCTTATTGTATTTAATTTATTACAATTAAATATTTCTTTAATTATTGTCGCGTATCTTGATTCTAGTCTTGATTCTACCCTACCATTAAAAATGAAATGTCCAAGAGACTGCGTCAAATCAAAAGGAAATTAACTCTTGCTACGATAATTACAAATAAAGTGCTCAGAGTCGTTATAACGAAAAGACAAAAGTTAATTATACGAACGTCAGCTTCTTCCGACTGGCGCGACTCTTAAATCTGTAGGAAAAAGAGAAAGAGATAGCGGTAACAATTTCGTTCAAAGGACGTCGTTCTACCACGATTTCCTATCTTGATGAAGAAGAACTCCATATTCTATTACAAAAACCTCAAGACTAAAGAAATGTTCCAAAAGAGGGAGAAAATAAAATAATAAAAAAAAAGCAAAGTTGAGTGGATTTTAGAGTTGGGGAGATGGTTTAAAATAAAAAAAAGAAAAAGACCTTAGATGGAGAATTTGCAGAAAGTAGCAAACTCCAACCACGCGTTGAAATTTCACCGTTGACGGGATGATAATTAAACTGGGTTCGCTAATTAAAACGCCTGAGCAAACCGGGTGGTGAGAAGCGCCTTTTCGTCATAAATTATGTCGGCGGCGGATATCCGCACGCGCGCAAAACGAATCGACTACGCGGCCTTGTACAAACATGAATCACTTTATTGCCTCTGAATCGTATAACGACTGGTTCGTACAAGCAAAATACAGTAGAGGCGGGGGGAAAAACACTAGATGAAAGCACCTGGCCGGCTATCATTGTATATAAATCTTTCGCGTGAAATTTAGCGCCGTTGCGACATTTTAATCGGTGTCTTTCAACTTGACGTGTTGAATTAAATTTTGTGAGCTGTAAATTCTCGTCAAAGGATTCCTAAAATGCTTCAGGGATAGAGCTTTTCACAAAAAAAAAAAAAAAAAAAAAAACAAGAAATCTGTCAGGGGTGATTTATCATTCTAATGAATCTCATCAATTTTTGTTTGGTTTAATATCTCGCTCAGTATATATTGGATCCTGGAATTTCGCCTGATAAATGAATCTTTGCAGTTCCAAATTTTTCACTTGAAAAATATTTTATTATTTACTCTAAAAGAATGATTAATTAGTTTTTTTTTATTATTATATACATTTTTTATTCATTCCCACACAACAAAAACAAATATCCCTGGGAGAACTTTAGTCTGAAAAAAAATTTAATTTTTTTTTCGTATTTAATATAATAGGGAAAAAAAAATCCTTCATCCGTTTTTGCAAAGTACGAAGCAAAATACAAAACTAACAGAGCTTTTGAATATTTAAATCAGTCTTTAGATCTCAAGTGAAACTTTTCAGAAACTGACGCCCACATAATAGTATGCAGGTTGCCGGAATTTAGTGTTCTCTGAATACTTCCTTCGAAATCTGAAAAGGAATGATAGTAGAATACAATGGATTCGAGACAATAGTAGAATAGAATATAATAGGCACTGATAGAAATTCTATCGGTTATTACATCCAACTTTACTAGTAGCTGCAATTTCTGAGGTTTAAAATAGGAGCAAGTCGTATTATACACATTTTGGCCCGAGTACAGATTACATTTCGTTGGGATTTTATGCCGTTGGTAGGTGGTGCCAAAATTACCTTTACAACCAACTAGAACATTATACACAATCTCCATTGGTCGATTCATATCTTCTAACATTAATAAATATATTTATAAAAACATTTATTATTTTACAATAAAGAAACGCCATTGAATTTAATTATTAGTTAATTAATTTTCCAAAAAGCAGATTTTACTGAAATAATAAATATACAATGATCTTTTTTGATAATTCAGATAATCTGTTAGGAAAAACATCAATAATAACATTTTTTTATAAATGGTCTGCCCAAAAAAGATTGAAACAATTTCTTGAAGTTATTTATTCTTGGATAATTGTGAAGGTATAAATTTCTCTGCATTTCATTTGTTTTAATATATTCTATGAATTAGTCGCTGTTTATACCCTTGAGAACTCAAGTTATATAATAGCACAAAAACAAAAACAGTCGTACGTTTTGTATTCTAATTATTTTAGCACCAGGTATGAACTTTCTTGTAGCTTTATTGCTACATTGCAGTAAATATAACACTCGGTTCATTTCGCTCTTGTGCTTCGATAAAAAACAATTTAACATTGGTCAATTATTAAAAAAAAATTTTGGAATAAAAATA